TGATGCTTCGTTTCTATCTTTAACGCTTTATTATGGTCTGGCAAGTCTTCCCCTGCCACCCAGCATCAATAGGGACAGAACTCACCTCCTTGTGTTTTCCCCAAGTGAGCAGAGACACACTTGAGGCTGGGGTCCCTTCTGTAGCAAGGTGTTGAGCCTGGTACATGTTGACTCAGGGGTCCTGACGAGAAGGAATGAGGGTGTTCCAGTTCCACTGCTGTCATAAAAACCCTGATTAAAAAAGAAAAAAGAGACTTAGGTGAGAAAGGGTTAATTTCAGCTTACAGTTCCTGGTTACAGTCGCTCATTGAAGGGAAGTCAGGGCAGGAGCTTGAAGCGGCTGTCATGTCACACAGAGTCAGGAGCAGAGAGAAGTGAGTGCATGCATGCTGCCTGCTTGCTAGACTGCTCCTCTCTTACACAGCCCAGGACCACATGACTAGGGAATGGTGCCACCCACAGTGGGCTGGATCTTCTCATTTCCATTAGCAATCAAGACAATCCCCACAGACATGCCCACAGGCCAGCCCAGTCTCCTCCCAGGTGATTCTGGGTTGTGTCAAGTTGACAGTTACACTAATCAGCATAGCTTTCTCATCACTAGGGGATGATAGTTCCTGATGGCCCCATGACAGATGGTACTTGACCCCTTCTGGGAGTTACAAGATGGCCAGAAAGGCCAAGGCTGGGAGGAGGATGGGGACCACTATTTTCCTCGCATGGCATGGTTGACAAACTCTTGAACTCACACCATCTGGGATGGCCCACAGGAGACATACACAAGATTGAGCTCTTTAAGGTTTTGTCATGGGAGAGGGGCTCATGAGGCCCCACCCCTCCTTGAGGCTGTATAGACAGTTAACAGTTGCTGATGGAGGAGGAACACTTGAGACAGCAGTTGTTGTCTATAGACATCTATAGACAGCAGGGAGGCCCCGCCCCTCCCTCAGGCTCTGTGGACAACTAATGGTTGCTGGGGAGAGACAGACATTCTTCAGTGGTGTGGATGCCCTAAACTGCCCTCCTCTCATCAGTAACTCCTCACCCACCCTCCTCTAACAGCCCCAGGCACATTCATGGCTACACCCAGCATTCTTGGGTGGGATCTTCCCTGTGTTTCTGTCCTTGGTGCCCTATCTGAGGTGAATAGACTCTGGTTCATGTCTCCCAGCAGAGTGTGGGAAGAGAAGGAAGTCAGAGCAGGTTACTGGTCTTCCTTGCCAGGACCAGGCAATGGCAATCTATAAGAAAGGAACTCTCAAGAGCCCCAGCCAGTGATGATGACAGGATCCTCGAGTTTATAAAAATAGAGTGCATTCTGAGACTTTTCATAATCGCCTCTCCAGTGTCTTCTTTCTCATTTCCTACTGATTCTAATTTTCCCTTTCCCTTGATTTCTGGAGGAGACAATTATCGGATCTCCTCATCAGTGTTATTCTTAGGAGTCCTCTCTGGGAGCCAAGTTCTAATCCAGAAATTGCTTCCCCAGGGAACCCACTAACAGAGGTCTCAACCTGCTGTAACAGAAATACTGTGCTTCCTTAGTCCTGTGTGAATGTTATGCATTCACCAAGATACCATTAATCACCCCAGAGACACAGCCAGGCAGGTGTTACTAAAATCAATATAACTTGAGATTGTGATTTCCAGAACATTCTTCATAGTATGAGTCACTAGGAAGCTTTAGAAGAACAGTATAGATTTTCTATTTTAAATCAGCTTTCTCTAAATGTACTTGGATAAATTCTTACCTCTCTTTGTGGGACACAAAAGATGGATGTCTGGAACACTATATATTTGCTTTAAATGTATTTAGTTATTATTTGTGTGTGTGTGTGTGTGTGTGTGTGTGTGAGTGAATGCCACATCTGTGCAGGTGCCCACCGAGGTCAGCAGAGAGTATTGGATCCCCTAGATCTGGAGTTATACAATGGTTGTGAATTGCTTTAAGTGGGTGCTGGGAATTGAACTCTGGTCCTCTGGAAGAGTAGTAAGTACTCTTAACTGCTGAGTCATCCCTCCAGTCCAAATATTTAGCATATGTCCATTTTATAAAACGGGGTTTCGTTTTGAACCTTCCATTACCCTCTTCCCTCCCATCTACCCTCCCCTTGGTCCTATTGTTTCTCTTCTACATTCAGGTCATGTACTTTTAAAATATCTATTCTGTATATGAGAGAAAACACGTGCTGTTTGTCTGAGTCTTTGTTGATTAACACGATCTCAAGTTCCATCCATTTTCCTGCAAATGACATCATTCTGTTCTTCTTTATGGCTGGATAAAACCCCACTGTGTGTATGTACCACACTTCCTTTACCAGTTTATCTGCCGATGGGCACGTAGGCTGGTTCTACTTCTTGGTTCTTACAGTACCACAGTGGCCATGGATGTACAGGAGTCTCTGTGGTACGTTGACCTAGAGTCCTTTAGGTCGGTATATACCAGGCAGTAGAATGGCTGCATTGTATGGTATCCACTGATTTTATCTCTTAGCTTTAGTCTGTCATGGTAGGGAAGGCGGGGCAGCAGGATCTTGCAGCAGCTGGTTGATTGCATCCACAACCAGGAAACAGAGAGGGATGGATGTATGGTTCCCAGTACCTCGGTTTTAGTTTTCTGAGGAACCTTCACGCCGACTTCCATAGCAGCTTCAGTCATTTACATTCCTTCTTCCCCCGTGCATCCTTACCAGCATTTGTTTGAACATGTTTTTAAAGATCATTTGCAGATGAGATTAAAAACCTTTGTCTAGGAGGGAGCTGGAAAATGCTCTGGGTATCAGTACATAGCCCCTTGCCTATTGCTCTCTGTCTCTTGCTTGGATTATGTTAGTGGTTCCTCAGTGAGCTTTGGTCAGGTCATGCCTCTGTTCTCATGCTTACTTTGCCTGATGTGGTGTTTGGGATGAGAAGAAAAAAAGAGCCTTTTGGGAAGTCAAGGAATCTTCAAAGCTGTAGCTGAGATGCTCCAAGTAGTGTTTCTTTTTTGTTTGCTTTTGTGTGCATGTGTGTTCACACTCCTGTTGTGCAAGTGCATGTGTGTGTGCATGTATGTGGAGGCCAGAGTTTGACCTCAAGTGTCTTCCTCTATTGTTCTGCACCTTATTTTTTGAGACATCGTCCCTCACAGAATGTGGAGCTCACCAATTAGGCTAGGCTGATTGGGCAGTGAGCCCTAGGGATCCTCCCACCTCACATACTTTTTTTTTTTAAATGTGTATTACTATATTGCCTGCATGTGTGTAAGTACACTCGTGGCTTGTAATGCCCACGGAGGTCCAGATCCCCTGGAACTGGAGTTATGGATAGTTGTTAGCTGTCATTGTGGGTGCAAGGTCCTCTGCAAGAGCAGCCAGTGTTCTTAACCACTAACCCATCTCTCCAGCCCCAATACATACCTTTTAAAAAAAAAATTTCTGGGGCTCAAACTTAGGTCCTCATGCTTACATAGTAAGCACTTTATCCACTGAGCCATCTCACCAGCCCCTCATCAAAGCATATTCCTATTTTCTAAATTAAAATGTTAAATTCAGGTGGCTTTTGGGCCGGAAAGATCTGATGGGATCTAGCATGATACAGTTTGGGCTGTGAAGTATGAGAAGTGGCAGAGCATGATCTAGAACTGAAGAAAGCACAGGATAACGGGGGGCGGGAGAGAGAGAGAGAGAGAGAGAGAGAGAGAGAGAGAGAGAGAGAATGGGGAGAGTCATTGATGCCCTGTGGCCCTTATGTAAGCAGAAGGCAGCAGCATTCATGTTCGTCCATTTGTTAAGCACTTATTAAGCATTTACTGTGTGTTAGATGCCTGGGAACTCAGCAAGAGATTATCCCAGTCCTCCTGGAGTTTGTAGTCAGTGAAAGAGACAGACATATGGGGAGGTTGTTGATGCTGATGGTGGCTGATTAGTGTGTGTGTGGACTTGGGAGACCTGTCCGAGTGAGACCTGGAGAGACCTCTGGTCCTGTGTGGCCTCTTGTGGGTCACTTCCTGAAGATGCTACTCAGGATCCATATTAAAGGAAACTTATGAGAAGAGGGCTCAGCATGAGCCAGGGGAAGTTAGGAAAGAAGATGGTGTATGGAAAGCTGCCAACAGGTGCTACTAGAATGGACAGGTGCTACTAGTAGGGGAGACAGACTGGGGGTGGGGGTACTGCTTTGCCGTGGAATCCTAGTGGGCTGACCATTGTATTTTCAATGAGTGTGGTCCATGGAAAAATAGAGATAGGATGCTTGAGCCAGATACTTCACCGCAGGATGGGGACCAGGGATGTAGAGACTCAGCAAAACAGTCTGGGAGGAAGGGAGACTAACAGAGACTAGGGAAAACCAGGATGTAGCTCAGGCTGAGTTTTCCTGGATGGTGAATAACACTGGCTCCTCTCTGGTTCATCACAAAACCCTCAATAAATTCTACCAAGGACCAAACTTGAATCTTGGCACTCAGAGTGCAGAAATGTTCTCCGTGGGTAGCAAAAGCTTCCCATGGGGTTTGGTGAGGACCATGGAGAGTCACTGAAGAGTCTGTACATGTGTGTGGCATCTGTGCATGCCTGGCAACAAGGGGCAGAGGTTCCAGATTTGTTCCAAACATCACTTTGTAGCACTTAGTCTATGATTGTAGATTCTTAGACGATGCCAGTTCTGTCTTTGTAAAGTTTCTGGGGCTGCTGTGTATGCATGTGCTGGCAAATTAGGTAAAGGCTAGGTTTTTACTATCCCTACTGCTGGGACCAATACCCAACAAGAAACGACTCAAGAGAGGAAGTGTTTATGAATCAAAATAATTTATGTGTGTATATGTGTGTGCACACTTGAGTATGTGTGTGCCATGGCACATGTGTGGAAGTCAGAGGATAACTTTTTGAAAGTCAAATTCTTGATTGGTTTTGTATCCAAAAAGTTGATATGTATTTTCCTGTTTCTCTTTATTTTCTTTTGTTTTCTCATATTAGTCTTTATTTTTATCCTGCTCCATTTTTTTTTTCCTTTTTAAAACTGTATGCAGGCAGGCAAAGTGGGACAAAGGAAATGGGCATCCCTTGCCCCCCAAAGACCTTAGGCGTGCCAAGTTTTCTTCCAAGTTGCTATTTCTGTTCCATTTTTTCTGTGTGTGGGAGGCACACACGCATGCATGCATGTGGAGATTGATGTCAGGAACTATCCTCTATCACGCTCACACTTTACTCATTGAGGAGGGGTTTCCCGGTCAAGCTCAGAACTCACCAATATGACTGGTCTTGCTAGCCTGCTTCTTCTAGGGATTTCTTGTCTCTGCCTTCCACTGCTGGCATTATAACCCACCCAGTATTTTACATGGATTTCTGGGATCTGAACCCCAGTCGTCACATCTGTATGGCAAGCACTTAACTACTGAGCTGTCTCTCCAGCCCCAATCTTTCACACTAGCATATGTTGTACATTGAGATTCTGCCCTCGATGCCCCTCACCCCAGTTCCTCATCCCCTTCCCTATAGTTCCCTTTGTTCCCCTGAGTGGTTCTAGTTGTTTCACATCATGTATACATAGTGACTTTATCTATCTAATGAAATCGAAGAACCACAACTGACTTACCCAAAGGACTCCAAGTGAACATCGCAGAGACACTTGCACACCCACATTACTGCAGCACTATTCACAAGTGGCTATAGATCCAACCCATGTGTCCAATGACAGAAGAACAAATAAAGAAAATACGGTGTAAACACATACTCAATGCCTACAGCTACCTGTAACTCCAGCTCTGGGGATCTGATGCCCTCTTATGCCCTCCATAGGCACTGTAGTCACATGCAAATGCACACAGAGACACACACACATAGAACAGAACTTAAAGTTATTTTTTAATCTTTAAAGAAGAATGAAGGGGCTGGAGAGATGGCTCAGTGATTAAGAACACTTATTGTTCTCACAGAGGCCCCAGGTTCAGTTCCCAGCACCCATGTCAGGTGGCTCACAACCTCCTGTAACTCCAGCTCCAGGGGATTCGACACCCTTTTCTGGCCTCCTCAGGTGCCAAGAAATGTGGCATATACTCATACAGACACACACATAAACCAAAGTTTAAAAAAATAGTTTAAAAATAAGAATGAAGTTATGTTGTTTGCGGGAAAGTGGACGCAGCTGGAGAGAACCTTATTAGGTAAATTAAGCCAATCCCAAAAGGAACGATCCCAGACTTGTGCTTGCCACCCCTTCTCCATGGTAACCCTGGGAAGTACTTTGCCCACATAGCAGCCTTCCTGTCTCCCCTGCATGAGGACTGCAGAGACATCAGATCACTATGACTGAATCCAACTCTAAGCCAGTTGCCCAATAAATTGCTTGGCTCTATTTGTTCTCTCTAGAACCTCTCCTGCCAGGCTCTGAGCCCAGCACATACTCCACACTAGCTTGCTCTGATGATGACTTTTTGCTGGCACACTGGATGGCATGCTGGATGCTGTCCACCACTCTACAAAAGGACAGAGATTCCTGGCTGCTGTCTCTGTGTTGAAGACACTTCTGAAACAGTGACAGATGGTCTTTGTTAAGAGTGTGACTGTGGGGGTTGGAGAGTTGGCTCAGGATTAAGAGCACTTGCTACTTGAGCAGAGAACCTGAGCTGTATTCCTAGCACCCACATTAGGCAGCTAACAACTGCCTGTAATACAGCTCTAGAAGATCCAGTGCCCTCTTCTGGCCTCCATGATAGCTACTCACATGCATAGACACACATACATACAAATAATAAATCTTAAAAAAATATTATGTTTACTATGATAAAGCCTTAACTTGAGCAACAAGCTTCCAAGGGTCACAGGCAAAAAAAAGTGACTTACCTTCATCCTAGAGACAACATCAAAACATTTTATTGGAAGAACAGTTTCTTATTTGGGTTTTAAATAAGAACCCTTGGAGCTGAAAAGATGGTTTTCAGCATTTAAGAATAAGCACTGCTCTTTCAGAGGATCTGAGTTCAGTTCCCAGCACCTGCATGGCAGCACATAACCACCTATAACTCCAGATCCAAGGGAGGTAATCCTTCTTCTAGCCTCCATGAGAACTGTGTGTGTACACATACAGAGAGAGAGAGAGACATAAATGAAATTTTAAAATCTTTAGAAAAAAAAAATACTGACTGTGGAAGGGGGACTCTGATCCTAACAGAAATTGCTTTCTTCACCTGAAGTCGAGATTGTAGATGGAATCAGAGAACACTACATCAGAAGGGTCCCTGAAAGGCTTCTTGTCCAAATGTTTCATTTCACAAACAAAGCACAGTGAGGCTGACAAACTTGCCAACGTCTCTTATCTAATTAGTGAGAACACAGAGAATGCACTCAACACTCAGTACAGTATTCTTTGAACAGAACCACTGAGTCTTATTTTTTCCCTCCTCTTAGAAAGAAAAAGAATATATCAAAACCCCACATAGTTGGCGTGTTCCTTGACACACAATCAGCTCCGAGCCGTCAATAGTTCTCAACCCCCCTGAACATCTGTGTATTGCTGACCATTTTCCCACTCTACCTCTGAGCTCAGCTCCAGCCCTTGTTTTTATTTCTTTCGGGTGTGTGTGTGTGTGTGTGTGTGTGTGTGTGTGTAAGCCAGAGGATAACCTTGGGTATCATTTCTCACATATTATCTACCTTATTTTTTAATTGAATTTTGCAATTTTCATACAATATAGTTTGATGACATTTAGATCTGCTCCCTTCTCCCTACCTCCCCCCACTGCCTCCAGTCCAATTTAATAATTATATATATGTATATATATATACATATATATGTGGCATATAGAGTATGATGTGTGTCCCTCCCCAATGTCCTTCAGTATAGATCCATTCACTGGGCCCACCAAGAGTCTCAACCCTGTAAGACACTGTCTTTCCTCCTCCCAGCAATCACCAATTGCCAAAAGTTCCTTAGGTTCGGTTGGGATTTCTTACCTACGTCCCCATGTCTATGCTGGGATTTTTGTCTGACTTGACCATACATGGGACTTGTGCATGCTGTCACCATTGCTGTGAGTTCATATAAGTAAATGACCAACTCTCTGGAAACTTGTTTTCTGGTGGTCATCCACCCTACCCCTCCAGTTCTTACAGTCTTTCTTCCTCCTCTTCCACAGTGATCCCTGAGCCTTGGGAGGCAGAGGTTTAAAATAGCTTTCCTATTCACAGATAAGTACTCTGATCTGTGGCCTCTTGTTCTCTGCACATTGGCTAATTGTGGGATTCTGTGTTAATCACCATCTGCTGCATAGGGAAACTTCTCTGGTGATACTTAAGAAGTATATTCATCCTAAGTGTAGAGGCTGCATTGAAGATGTGTCATTTAGGGTTAAGCATCTCACAGACACTGTTCTCTGTGTTTGACCAGTTCTGTAATTCTGCAATTGTGTCCATCTGTTTCAAAAAGATGCTTCTTTGATGAGCGGTGAAAGGAACACTTATCTGTAAATATGAGGGTGCATATTTAGAATAAAGTAAGAAATGATGTTGGTCTCGGGATGTTCAAAAGTATGCTTTTTCTCTAGGATCCATGACTTCTTCAGCCATGTGTATTTGGCTATATTTACAATACCATACATGAGTTCCCTCCCATTGAGTGGGCCTTAATTCCAAGTGGCAGTTTTTTCTTGGGGGTAATCAACTATCTAGCTGGAAATAAGGCCCACCTTATTTTTTTTCAAGATTCATTTTCTTTTAATTTGTGTATATGTGTGTATTTCTGTGTGTAGGTATGTGCATGTGTTTGCAGATGTCCATGGAAGACAAAAGAAGATGCAGGACCCATTGGAGTTACTGGCAGTTGTGAACTGTCTGATGTTGATGCTGGGAACTGAACTGGGGTTCTCTGCAAGAGCAGTACATGCTCTAACCACTAAGCAATCTCTCTAGCCTTCTACCTTGTTTTTTGAGACAGGATCTCTCACTGTCTAGGAACTCACCAGGTTGACTGGCCACAATGCCCTGGGTGGCTTCTGTTCCTGCCTCCTTAATGCTGAGATTGCAAATATGTGACAACATACCACCTTCTTTTACATGAGTTCTGTGGCTAGAGCTCAGATCCTCATGCTTCAGTGACAAGCACTTTGCTTACTGAACTTTCTCTCCAGCCCCAGCCCTTGATTTTTTGAGACAGGTTCTCAGGATGTAGCCCCAGCATGGCCTCAAACTCAGGATCACTCAACTTCCATCTCCTGAGTACTGGGACTTCAGGAATGTACCACCATGCATCATCACCTGGGTCATTTCTTCATTCATTTAAGGATGTTTGGGTCACTGAGGATCAATCATTGAACCAGGGATTCTCTAAGCTCACTCTCTAGACCATTGGTAAGAGCATCCAGGGGAAGAAACAGGATAAATGCAAATTCTAAACCCCACACTAAGAAATCTTTGTTTTATCAAGTCATCCTCCTTTAAGAACCACTGAGAGGAGATTTCACCAGTAGGCAGGACTCTGCAAAACCCTCCCTGGAGTCATGAAATGTGCTAGGCTACAACTGGCTAAGTAGCTTGCCCTAGTGTACCAGGTACCTTCTCTCAAATATTTGGTCGTTACCCTCAGAGAAAGATGTTCAAGAATGTGAGCTTGATGCATTTCTGAGAGGATAACATTTCTGAGAGGAGTTTGTGTGCATCTGATTTACATGGAGGGGACAAAGAAGCCCTGGACTTCATCTTCCTAAAGCTAATACTGTCTGTCTTAGCTTCTTGTTTGCTTTTATCCATTTTTAAACCTTTCGGTGTCATTTTGATTTGTGCCTGTATTAGTTACGTTTTCTTGTTGCTGTAACAAAATGCCTGAAAAAGGCAATCTAAAGAAGGATTTGTGATTTATTGTGGCCTTAGGAGCATGAAGCAGCTGGTCACATCTCATCCACAGTCAGGAAGCAGAGAGAGATGGATGCTGGTACTCACCTCATTTTCTTGTTTTTATTTAGTTCAGGACCCCAGTCCATAGAATGGTGTGCCCACATTCAGGGTGTGTCTTCCGTCCTCAGTTAACCCAATCTGGAAACTACCTCATAGACAAGACTACCTCAGAGGTGTGTCTTCATGGTAAGTCTAGATCCTGTGAAGTTAATAGTCAGTATCAACCACCACAGTGCATGCTGGCTGTAGGAAATAACAGATTTTTTCTTT